ATACTTTCCATAAGAAAGATCACGTAATCAGGTTGTACCATAGCGACGAAGAAGAAGTTACCGCAGTAACAAAATACTTGGGAGCACATTCAGGAACCAACATACTAGGAAATTATTGTCATTTCAAAATGTTTTGTTGTTTTATGGAGTACTTTACAGCTCAAAAGCCCCACTCACTTACCAGTAAAACGGTGTTTCTGTGGCCGACTGTAAGAAGCTGTCCTGCCCTCAACGCTGAAAGTCGAGCCCGGGCTCCCATAGCTCCCAGAGAGGCCGTCGAGAGAAGCCTCAAAAGCTGAGACATTCCGCCTTTCTGTCTGTTTTCTGTGTGACTAAAAAGAAAAAAACGCGTTGCGTTTTGCTCAATTCGTCTGTCTTTGTCCACCTAACTCCATTATGTTGTGCTTTCAACTGTTGTTAGGTAAGAGCAACGACATGAAATGTCAACGGGAGGGTGATGTAAAGGTCCGAGAGGTTTCCGTTCAAACACCGGAGCGAAATGTTTTGTATATCAACATAACTAAAACATTTCATGAATAAATTCAGATTACAACATTTGTGTTGAAACATATTTTATGTGCTTTGTATTAAATTTAAAAACAAGAATCAGTTTATGCGAATTGTTTATTGTTTTTTACGTTCAGGCACCAACAAGGCTAACAATGGGTCCTAAGAGCACACCTTCTGTCTGATTGGCTGAGGCAGATTTCCCCTCTGTCAATCTCATGTAACTGTTACCAAAATGTGAATGAGACTGCATTTTCCAGATGACACACGTAACGTGACACACATATATTGAATTAGTTATTAAAGAATACGTGACTGCATATGAGATTATTATGAAATGTTTTTACATGTTATATATTTAGCACGTGTTCGAAACCACCGACTTATCTGTGTATTGTTGATTTCTTGAAAATTAAGCACAGAACACAAACAATATTACTTTTTCTGTCATTTTAATTTTTAATAACTTTAAGATAAACAACTTTGCATACCAAAACTTATTTTTTAGATTACCAAAAATCAAAACTATCAACACATTCATGTGACCGTGACCTTTGTGTTGCATCATTCAGTTATTTGTCAATTTAATAATAAATGGGGAATGGCCTGTTTTCAATCAGGGCTTTTCTGGTTTAGTTTCAAACTCAAAGTTCCTTTGCATTTCAAGCCACATTCATGCCTAAACTCCCAAAGGACGTCTGTATTCAGTATTCAGTATATGTAACATACATATATGTAACATACAACAATATTCTATAATGTGTGCTATTCTTATATTCAAGTATTTCAAACATTAACAGCCGGATTGGATACTCAGATGTATCTGTGCTATCAAACTAGAAAGAGATCTTTATTTTTGTGTGCAGATGGTGATGCTGGGAGCTCTCAGCTTCCTTTGTAGGTGCTGTAGGAGAAACGACTCATCAGAAGAGGGAGATGAAACTTCTGGGCTGGGTCACTAATGGTGAACACAACCTGTGGAAACACACACACACATTAAGTACTACGAAACATTACATTACCGTGATTCAGCTGATACCAAAATCCAAAGTGACTTAAAAGTGTGGCAACTTGGGTCTCAATACCTCGCCTGAAGTCATTTTTATTTGTGAAAAAGAGACGATTTGGATCATTCCAATGACCTTTTAACACACTATCATCTGAGCTAGAGAGATGGAGACACACACTCATACACAAAGTGCTAAAGATGAAAGGAAAAATCATAAAAACACAAATTACGGGATATGTCTTTATTTTGTATTTCATTAACATAGAATAAAACCTACTCATATCAAAATATTTCATAATAAAATACTTTTTTGCTTCCTTTGCTGCTGAATTTGAATCTGCAGACTCAGGTTACGTCACAATTAACTAACCAGTCGTTGTGATTATGTACTATCATTCTTTCCAAGCAACTCTCCAAGTAATTATCTGGACATTTTCTCAGATTTTCTGACACCTTGTGGTGATAAACGGTGAAACTACTATTTTTTTTTCTCATGTAGTTTTGCTAATTCTACTAGTAAAAGTATTAATTTACATATCAATATTGTTTTTTTTTATTGTGCGTTTATCTCCCATTTCCTGGCCCTTTGTCACACCCAATTTTGATGTGTCAGAGGTTTGTTTTTTGTACCAAAACTAATTATGAATCAAAATGTGAGCTTCTTTTTTTTGTTAATCGTTGATCTGGGCCTTCTGGATTTTTTTTAAAGTGACCGTAAAACATGATTGAGGATGATTTGTTCGATCTCACCTCGACATAAGGGTAGAAGGAGGCGTGACCCAGACTCTCCCAGTACGAACCCGTCTCAAAACGCAGTTTGTACATGCCGGGGGTGAAAGCTTCCCGGGTGACGAGTCCTGGGCAGCGGCCATCTTCGTTTGTTGTCCTAAAAAAAATCAAAAATCATCCCAAAACATGACGGATACAGCTTCTTATGAAGTCATGCTCAACAACATGGATGGGAACAGGGACGTGGAATGGGATAGCTTTTGGGACTCATTGAAAAGAACTATGGCTTCAAGTAATGTATCTGGATGAAGTCTGATTTTCCCGGACAATTACCTTTCTCTCAACTACTGAATGTTTTTGAATTG